CCTCAGTGGAATCCAGGAGACTATACCCCATCCCCTAAGCCTCCTTAGCTTACCAATCAGTTGTCACCTTATACCTAACTTACATGCCAATTACTGCAGTGAAATTATTTTCCTCCAAGGTTTATAGGGAGATGGCAAATGCTGCCTGTTTTCTCATGCCTCGATCAGGTGACATAATGTATTCTTAGTCGATTTATCCATTTGGAATACCACTTACTAACGAATGGTGGTGCACCTGGGTGGTTTAGTTGGTTAAGCATGCGACTCTCGGTTTCGGCTCAGGTCATGATCTCACAGTTCATGAGTGTGAGCCCCGCATCAGGATCTGTGCTGACAGCGCATAGCCTACTTGGGATTTCTTTCTCCCTCTCTCTTTTTGCCCCTGCCCAGCTTGGTCTCTCTCTTTCTCTCTCTCTCTCTCAAAAAGTAAACAAAGAAACATAAAACATTTTTTAAAAATGAATGGGATATTTTTCAGTTTCTATGAAGAAATAAGATCCATTAATGTCCATGATATATTGCTAAATGGAAAAAAAAAAGCAAGATAAAACAGTATCATGGGATTTCATTTTTGTTAAAAAGAAAATATATTTGTATGCATGTGGGAAATATCTAGAAGGCTATATTCTGAATTTAACAGCAACTGATTCTTGAAAATGAGATGTAGTGGGGTATGGGACTTTTACTTTACAAAGCTTTTGGAGTGTCTTTTTTAAATGTTTATTTATTTTGAGAAAGAGAGAGGGGGAGGGAGAGGGAGAGACACAGGGAGAGAGAGACAGAGAGTCAGAGAGACTGCAAGTGGGGGAGGGGCAGAGAGAGAAAGAGAATCCTAAGCATGGAGCCTGACATGGGGCTCAATCTCACAAACGATGAGGTCATGACCTGAGCTGAAATCAAGAGTTGAATGTTTAACCGTAAGTGTTTGTCTTTTTAAACAATGAGTATGTATTAATTTTACAATTGAAAAATAAGACTCTTTGGTGGGATTTAGGTGGTTTTTAGTTTATTTGTGCTTTGTTCCTCCCAATTTTTCTACTGTGAACATCAACTACTTTTATAATCAGAAAGTTAAAAGCCCTTTAAACCATAAAGTTTATTAAAAAGAAAAGAGATTCTCAAGATGACACAGTTTGAGATATTGGGGGATGTACCAAAGAGGGTCTAACCTCTGCGTCCTAAGGAATTCAGCTCCTACACAAGCTGGATGTCAAACCAATACAGTCCCAACTTGGCAAAACATGTTAAGAGTTATAAGAATGTTCCAGGTCCCATAACTTTGTAATCCCATCCTGGGGCTTCAGTTTAAGGAAATGTTTTTTTTTAAATCCTATAAAGAGGGGGGCACCTGGGTGGCTCAGTTGATTAAGTGACTGACTTTGGCTCAGGTCATGATCTCACTGTTTGAGGGTTACAGCCCCACGCCAGGCTCTCTGCTGTCAGCACGGAGCCTGCGTTAGATCCTCTGTCTCTCTGCCCCGTCTCTGTTCATTCTCTCCCTCTCAAAATAAATAAAGAAACTTAAAAAAAAAGGCAGCTTTTTTGTAAACATATGGGCCTGTGTTTACACAGTGAACAAAGAAAATGCAGAGCAAAGAAAAACAGAATGGAATATTGAATTTACATGGTGATTATGGCTATTATTTATATGCTATACTTAGGGTCAGTGAGAAAGCAAGGATGAGAGAGGAAACAGAGAAGGGATAAAGGAGGAAAAAAGCTGAAAAAATAACAGTTATTGTGTTAAGGTGACGGATTATGGAGGGTTTTTGGAAAGTGTGTTTAAATGATGTCGAAAGTTGTTTTGGTAGTAAACAGGAACTACACACAGGGGCTCTATAGTTTTGGGCAAGTTACTTCACTAAACCTCTGTTTCCTCGTTGGCAAAATGGGACAATAATGGTACTGACCTCATGGTGTCATTTTTGCAGATTAAATGAGATAATCTATGCAAAACACTCACCAGCAAGCCCAGTGGGTAAGAAACAGCCAATAAATGTTAGCTATTATTGCCATTGTTATGTCATCATTATTGTCAGAGGGGAGATTCTCAGATGCTCTAGGTGGGAGTGGACATGGCTGTATTTGGAAAGGCAGTAGAGTAATAGATATAAACATAAATACAAAACCCTTTGTCCAAGGTTTCATGTCCAGAAAGTCATTCTTTTTTAAAAACTTTGCATTCAAGGGGTGCCTGGGTGGCTCAGTCAGTTGAGCGTCCAACTGCAGCTCAGGGGTTAGAGCCCCTTGTCAGGCTCTGTGCTGACAGCTGAGATTCTGTGTCTCCCTCTCTCTGTGCCCCTCCCCCGCTCATATTCTATCTCTCTCAATAATAAACATTAAAACAAATTTAAAAATAATAAAGTAAAATTTAAATTCAAATTAGCTAATATACAGTGTAGTAGAAATTCATCCTCAGTAAATGATCTGACATGTACACTGCAAGGTGTGAACAAGAATGTTTATCTCACTCTTCTCATAAGCAGCCTGAGGTGATCTCTGAAAATGGTTCACCATTCACTTGACCCAGAAAACCCGATAAAACCTTGCAAATCAAGAGGTTCAAATCTTTGTGTTCATTGTAAGAACACACAGGAAACTGCCCAGGCCATCAAGGGTATGCATATTCGAAAAGCCACCACGTATCTCAAAGATGCCACTTTGCCGAAGCAATGTGTGTCATTCCATTGCTACAATGGTGGAGTTGGTAGGCGTGCCCAGGCCAAACAGTGGGGCTGGGTGGGTGGCTCAAAAAGAGTGCTGAATTTTTACTGCACATGCCTAAAAATGCAGAGAGTAATGCTGAACTTAAGGGTTTAGATATAGATCCTCTGGTCACTGAACATATCCAGGTGAACAAAGCTCCCAAGATGAGGCATAGAACTTACAGGGTTCATGATCAGATTAACCCATACATGAGTTCTCCCTGCCACATTGAGTTGATCCTTATTGAAAAAGAGCAGATTGTTCCTAAACCAGAAGAGGAAGTTGCATAGAAGAAAGAGATAATCCAGAAGAAACTGAAGAAACAAAAACTTATGGCCTGGGAGTAAATTCTGCATAAAATACATGCAAATAAAAGTAAAAACAGAAAAAAAAAGAATGTTTATCTCAGAGTTATTTGTCATAAAGAAAGACTGGAGGGGCTCCTGGGTGGCTCAGTTGGTTAAGTGTCCGACTTCAGCTTAGGCCATGATCTCACAGTTCATGAGTTCAAGTCCCATGTAGGGCTCTGTGCTGATAGCTCAGAGCCTGGAGCCTGCTTCAGATTCTGTGTCTCTCTCTATCTTTGCCCCTCCCCTGCTTGCACTCTCTCTCTCTCTCTCTCTTTCTCTCTCAAATATAAACATTAAAAAAAAAAAAGAAAAAAATTGGAAACAACCCAAAGATCCAGCTGAACAACCTAGGTGCCCCTGTTTTGTTTGTTTGTTTTTGTTTTTGTTTTTAAAGAAGACCCTTGCCTTGGAGTAAGGAATTCTAAGACTGGAGAATGAAGAATGCAAAATGTGGTGAAGAGAGTTTCACCTGTTCAGAACCACTGAGTCCCAGGTCTGTGGTGAATTCTGCTTTCGATAGAAATGATGGGGATTCATGAAGAATCCATGGGGATTCTGGAAAAGGAGACAGACTCATAGAAATTTCCATCATCAGTAATAAGAAAAATGGTCCAGGGAGTAGTCCCTGCCAGGAGACGGACAGGGCAGGAGTTATCGCCGAGGAGATGGAGGGAGGCCCCATGTGTGAAGTGGTGCCAGAAGGCGGGACAGGAACTGGAAGTCTGGGGTCTGAACCCCCCACCCTCCTGTGGTTGTGACCTCCGAACCACATATGATGCATTGAGCTCCTGGCCAGTGCCTGGCACGTAGCGGGTCTTCAGTGCATCCTGGCAGCTCCTGCTCCAAGCTGTTCTCCGAGCCCCTGGGCTGCTGCTTTATCTTGCTGGCATCATCTGTACCCTGCTTATGTCTCTCCTCCTTGCTGCAGCCAAACTCACTGCCTTTCATCATGGCCCTTCCCACCTTCATCACACCTCATTCTAGAATATCATCTCCCTGTGTTCTCAGCCTTCTCTAGCCCTCCTGTTTCTTTAAATATCCAAATCCATGGGGTGCCCGGGTGGCTTAGTGGGTTAAGCTGTTAAGTGTTAGATTTCAGCTCGGGTCATGATCTCACGGTCCATGGGTTCGAGCCCGGCCTCGGGCTCTGTGCTGACAGCTCAGAGTCTGGAGCCTGCTTCAGATTCTGTGTCTCCCTCTCTCTCTCTGCCCCTCCCCTGCTCACACTCTGTCTCTCTCCCTCAAAAATAAACATAAAAAACAAAGAAAAAAGAAAAAGAAAGTCAGCATTCAAACGCTGTTGTTCCTTCTGGACCAGCACTGCCATTTCCTAGCACAGACGCTCCAGCCCCAGCTGTAGAGCTCACTCCTTCCCTGCGCCCCACACCTGCCTTGTCTCAGGACTAACACCCCCGCCTGCCTGCCTGCCGAGGGTTCTCTGCAGGCAGGCGTTTTCTCGGAACTAGATCGGGAACTCTGCGGGGAAGGGTATAGGTCTCATGCATCTGTGTTTCCTCAGTGCCAGCCACGCAGGCAGGGGTGCTTGGTGCACTTTGGAGGATGGATGAGGGGGTGAACGAGTAAATAAGGGGTGATGAGAGCATGGCTGGAAGGCAGAGCAAGGACGAAGTTCAGAGGGTGGGATGGCAGCAGGGGATGGGGCCTTAAAGGCCGTGGCATTGCCATCGTCCTTGCTGGGAGTGGCAGCGGGCTTCCAGCCAGCACTTCCCCAGGGTGACTAACCTCAGGGCTCTGCTCCTCCAGGCCCTGCCCACTCATAAAGCAGCAAGTGCTTCCTCTTCAGGGGCTGGAGGGAGAGGTGGGGTGACTTAGGGGCTGAGCCCCAGCACATGGAAGAGTTTATAAGCTGGGGCACCGGGCCCCTCAGCACCAAGACCCTTCTTCTCTCTCATCCCTTGCCACCTGCCCTCCAGCTCTCCCAGCAGCATGGCCTTCAACGGCAAGTACGAGATCGAGAGTGAGAAGAATTATGATGAGTTCATGCAGCGCCTTGGTGAGTGCGTGAGTACCCCTTCCCAGGGCTGGTCTGTCACAGCCAGCTTGGGGCCAGAAACCCAAACTCTTTGAGGCCCAGAGGAGCTGAATAACTAGTCCAAGGTCAGACAGGCAGTAGTTAGTGAGGTGGAGACTTGATTGGTTTATTCATTCATTCAAACGTATACTGAAAAAACAAAACAAAACGTATACTGAACACCCGCTATATGCAAGGGCCAGCCTGACGCTACTGATAGGGTGCCTCGGCATGATGCCCAACGTCACACTGTAAATTAGGGGCAGGGACTGTGATGAGATGATGAGGAGAGCCACCCTGTCCTGCGTGGGGAGAGGTGACCAAAGGGTTAGTAGAGAGACCAGGTTTGAAAACCATGCATTCACTTGGCCATTCGACGAACACAGTCCTGTTCTTGTGCTAGGAACTATGTGCAGAGATCAAAGATGCCACTCCTGTCACCGCTCCATTTGCAGCACTGGGTGTGAGGAACCCACAGGACAGTGGCCTTGACAATCCTGCAGAAATCTTGGTGCATCATCCAAGTCTGAGGCAGTGAAACTGTCACTCAGGGGACAGCCCCGGGGATCTCTGCTCTACCTCCGGGTGGCCAGAGAGGCCCTGAGAGCAGAGAGGCCCTGAGAGCAGGGCCCCTGGAGCCTTGGGGAGACAGGAGCTCTTCTGGATCAATCATTGGGAGTGGCCCTGAATTATCGGTGACTTGGCTTCCCCTACAACAGTCCCATGTGGAATGGAAGGGTCTCAACTGTAGACCTGGTCTGCTGCTAGCCTCCACTGTGATGCGGAGCAGCCCCTTTCCTGCTCCGGGTCTTCATTGCCTAATCTGTGAAATGAGACGCTTAGGAGACAGTGTTAACGGCCCCATTCATTCAAGGACTTTGTGAGCTTGGCAGTGTCTGTTATATTTATGCTACGGTATTATCAGAAGAGCAGCTGATATTTATTGTCAGTTATATGCCAGGAGTTTTATAAGACATGATCACTTTGATTTCAACCTTGCAACAGCCCTGTGAAATGGGCCCTGTTATCCCATAATTTTGTCAGTGGAAACACTGAGGCTCAGAGAGAGAGTGACTCATCCAAGCTCATGGTTCACGGCAGAACTGAGATTTGTGCTCCTAACCATTGCACTAGCCAGCCACTAGGGAGGAAAACCCTCTCCCAAAGCCACAGGTTGTAAGCAGCTCTCACACGGCCGCTCTATTTGTCCTTGGGCCAGGGCTCCCCAGCGATGTTATTGAAAAGGGCCGAAACTTCAAGATTGTCACAGAGGTGCAGCAGGACGGGGAGAATTTCGTCTGGTCCCAGCACTACCCGAGCGGCCACTCCATAACCAACAAGTTCACCATCGGCAAGGAATGTGACATGGAGACGGTTGGGGGCAAGAAGTTCAAGGTGAGAGGGCACTGGCTGCCATTCCTTCTTTCCCCAAACCTCTGGCTAACTTCTTCATCTCAAGCATGTCCTCTGGAACTGTACCCCAAGCTGAGGCTCTGTTCTCAAGTCTAGCCTCCAATCTTAAGTGCTTGAGTTACTTGGCAACTTAACCACTCCTGGTTTTTGTTTTTTTTTAATATTTTTTATTTATTTCTAGGAGAGAGAGAGAGAGAGAGAGAGACNCCTCTATGTTCCTTAAAATAGCTTTGTGATGAATGACAAACTCTTTCACATGGTGATTTCTTACAATAGAATTTAGTAAAAGCAGAGGATGTAACATTAGAAAGTTATGTATACTGTATACTGTATGGTACTAACCACTTTTTTTTTTAATGTTTTATTTATTTCTAGGAGAGAGAGAGAGAGAGAGAGAGAGAGACAGCGTGAGCAGGGGAGGGTCAGAGAGAGAGGGAATCACAGACTGAAACAGGCTCCAGGCTCTGAGCTGGCAGTCAGCACACAGCCCGACGCGGGGCTCGAACCCACGAACCGCGAGATCATGACCTAAGCGAAAGTCGGACGCTTAACCGACTAAGCCACCCAGGCGCCCCTAACCACTCCTGTTTTTTAATGCTATTCCCATAATGGACACTGTAATGAAATTGTTAAAAATTGTTAACATTTGCCAACACTTAATATATCAGAGACACCTGCTAAATACTTCACACAATGTTAACGCAGTTAGGCCTACAAAGTTGCTACAGTTACTCTCCCATTCTATGGATAAGGGAGTTAGGCTGAGCCACGGGGTTCAATAGCTTGCCCAGGTCGCACAGCACTGGCACACCTTCACACCCAGGCAGTCTGGCTTCAGAGAACATATCCATTTTTTCATGCTGCCTTCCAATGTAGCCTAAAGTTCCACAGCCCTAGAATCAGACTCTGTGGGTTTGAAACCGCAATCTTATGTAAGAAAGAAGTAAAAAGGGACTGTCCTCAGCCTATCCAGCCTGGTCCCTCAGGTCTTTCATCGATTCCGGGTCCCTCTATCTATAGCCCCAGCCATGACTGTGTGTAACTTTGCTCCTTAGCTGCCCCAGTGGAGAAGAAGTAGTCATAATGTTCATATTCTGTCACTTGTGTATTTTAAAAACTTAGCAATTCCTCGTGATGTCTTTCTGAGTCAGCACATATTGATTTGCCTTATTCTTTTTAATGCTTGCATAGTATCTCTTAGTATGGAAAGCCTGTCATTCATTTAACAGATATTTAGGTTATTTACTGGTGCACAGTCCAGATTGGATATTTGGGTTGTTCACAATTACAAACGAAGCTGCCATCCACGTCCTTGGATGACATCATTGGCACCCTATCAGTGAGGATCGTAACTAACTCCTAGCTAACAAGGCGGGCTCACCTGTGCCAGGCACTCTGCCAAGCATCTTACATATCTCAGATGAAATCGCTTAATCCTCGTAACTCTGTAGTAGGTACAGTAACTACCCCCACTTTATCTTTTTTTTTTTTTTAACGTTTATTTATTTCTGAGAGAGAGAGAGACAGAGCACGAGCCAGGGGCAGAGAGAGGGAGACAGAGTCCGAAGCAGGCTCCAGGCTCTGAGCTGTCAGCACAGAGCCTGACGCGGGGCTTGAACCCACATGTCCTGAGACCATGACCTGAGCTGAAGTCGGACGCTTAACTGAGCCACTCAGGCGCCCCTACTACCCTCCCTGTAGAGGTGTGAAAGCTGAGGCAGAGCAAGATTGACCAACTCATGCTTGTTATCTGTATCTTCAGATATAGGTCACTGTACATCTACAAGGCAAACTAAATCCCAGAGGGGGCTGCTATGGCTGCAGGTAGCCCTTCCTCCCTGGCGGGGAGGGGCTGGCCTGTGTTTGGGGGGCCTCTGACATCTCAGGCTCAGTGTTGTGCTTCCCTCCTAGGCCACCGTGCAGATGGAGGGGGCGAAGATAGTGGCGAACTTCCCCAACTATCACCACACCTCGGAGATCGTGGGTGACAAGCTGGTGGAGGTGAGTGTCCTGCTGGTTCCTGGGACAATGATGAGAACACTTCTCTGCCTCTACCCATGGCCCCTGAGAGCGGGGCCTCTGGGTCGTGGCTCTGTGAGCACGTCCCATGTGCCAGGCTCTGTGCTGAGTGCCCTGTGTATATCATCTGGTTTGATCTTCACAGCAGCCTGTTAGGCAGGGATTTTATCTCCATTTTCCAGGTGAGGGGGGGACTGAGACACCAGGTGCTAAGTGGTTAGCTGAAGGGCACCTAGATTCTGTGACAGTCCTGGGAATTGATGCTTGGCAGTCTGGTTCTGCCACCACAGGGGCGCAAGTGTGGAAGCCCATGGGACCTTCTGCAGAATTTAAATGAAGTGGGGAGTCCGGGTGGGCCCTGGAAGGGCAGCCGCCACACTTCCACTTCCTCCGGGCCCTTCCTGCTAGACCTTCTGATTTTTCCAGAGAAGCTGGAAATTTGTACTTTGTGAAATCTCCAGACTATTAAGCATTGGCATTGATTTAGCCCTTTTTAAAAAATGCAGGCAGGGCTAACACACACATCTGTGGATGGTCCCTTCCCACACTTGGTGCTCTGTAAACACAGGTTGGAGGCCAGTTTCTTCTTCCCGGGGTTCCAGAATTTTCTCCAGGTGAAAGAAATGGATGTGATATTAAAAGCAAAAGGAAGACATTTCCACACTTCATTCCCTGCCTTGTTAGCCTATGTCCTGGGCCAGAGCACCCTGGGGTCCAGTCTACCCTCCCCAAGGTTCTCCAGAAGGGAAGCAATGAGGGGGGTAGGGTTTGCCACCTCCCTGCTGCCCCGTTTTCTCTCTCTCTCTCTCTCTCTCTCTCTCTCTCTCCCCCTTGTTTTGTTTTCCTTATCCCAAAACCAGTCTAGAGGCCCAAGGGACTCAGTGACCTCTCATTATTCCCATTTTACAGACAGGCCACAGAGGTTCAGAGACAACAGGTAACTTGTCCAAAGCCACACAGCCAGTTTGTGTTGGAGGCAGGTTCCATCAGCTGACTTCTAGACTAGGCTCTCTGCCAGTTCTTCCCAGGCCAGTGGATGTCTAATTTTTTTTTAATCTAAAAATAAAAAGATGCCCAGTGTTTTAAAAAATATATAAAAGAACAAAAATGTCCATTTTTTCCTGGATGGAAATTGATCTCTTAGAGAATCTGGTAAATGGTTTGGACATATTTTTACATTAAATGTCAGCCAGTGGGTTCTGACTCTCAGAAGCAAAGGTCCCGGGCCTGTGAGGTGTGTGGGGAGAACACAGGGCAGATTTGTGCCCAACGGGAGGCTCAATCTTCCCAAACTGAACAAACCTGTCTCCTGATTCCTAGGGTCTTCTGACCATGGAGCCTGTATGGTGTGAGCAGTGCTCAGGGTTCAGGGTGTCACATGCACACACACATGCACACACACTCACACACGTGCATATGCATGTTTGCACAAGGCCACTGGCATACACACACACACAAATGCACATGCACACAGACTAGGCACCATAGAGAAGCTTTCCTGGTGGCACAGCTCCCATTTCCAGAGGCCAGAATCCCCCTGGACATCACTGTCCTCCACCAGCAGGGAGTGCATTAGGTGGGCATCCGTCCTTCTCCTCCAGGCACCATCAGCACCCCTTGCCGTGCTCTCACCATCACTCGAGACCAAGTCCCAGCTTCCTTCCTGTTTGCAGATCCCCCTCTGCTCCATCCTGCTCTATGTACAAATCACACATCACTTCACACTGCTGCCCTTGACAAAACTCCGTTTGCTACCTGCCCACTTCCTGTGAGAAGGCAGCCTCCTCTGCTGGGTATCAGGACCAACTGACGATACATGCCTGCCCCACAGTGGTGGGTCCTTGATGGCCTCGAGCCCAGGACACAGCACGCAGTGGGCCTTCACTGGACAACATCCTCCCACCTGCCGCTCAAAAAACCTTACACTACCCTGGGGGCAGGGACCCTATTTTCCCATCAACAAACACAGGGACCCCATAAATGCTGTGTGTGCAGTGGTTGATGTGGCCTCTCAATCTCAGAGAGCTTACCTGACTCCTCTAGACTTCAGTTTTCCCATCTGTACAATGGGTACAACCCTACAGCATTGTTGGGAGGATTAAATGAGATAACAGGCAAGTATCTGAAGTGGATGAACTTCAATGAACAGAAGGGTGGAAGGTTATACTACAAAGAGCCACATCAGCCCTAACATCTGTTTAGCACTTTGACCACATTGAGTCTGCACAGTGACACGTGTGACAAATTGGGAAACCGAGGCTCAGAGAAGTGGTGCAACCTGCTCACTTCTACTCAGGACAGGGACTGGAGGCCAGTCCTTCTCCAGCTGTGCCCCATGTCACTTACTGGCCCCTGCACTGACTCCCTCTGTTCTGGCTGCTTCTTTCAGATCTCCACCGTCGGAGGTGTGACCTATGAGCGTGTGAGCAAGAGGCTGGCCTGAGCAAGCAAGCGGGGGTCCCAGGGGTCTAAGAAGCCACCAATAAAAGCTGGGATAAGAACAGACAACTCTGTTTGCTCCAAGCCTCTTTGTTCTTTGTTTTCTGCTGTCTGGGGACAGTTTCCAGCTGGCTGGGGGTGAGGGAGCACCGAGGACGGCTGCACAGGCCAAACCTTGGCCCTGAGACCAAGGGCCAGAGGGAGGCTTGGATGTGAAGTGCAATACTCCTGATCCCGCTGGAAGTAGCCAAAGGTGGTGTTCAAGAAGCACGGGGAGCACACTTCCATCTGCCCTTGTCCCACCTTGCCACCCAGCTTTCTGTGCGTAGGGAGACAGGGCTCCTTTAAAGAGATGGACGTCACTTGGGAAAGATAACACATGGACTCTCACATGGGCCACAGGGCAGGTGTATCAGACGATGGGTCGGAGTAGGAGTGGCACTTCCAGGAAAGGGCCATGCAGCTGGGCTCCAAGGATGGCAGACAGAGGCGGGACACACCAGGGCTGCGCCAGCCAGGTGTTTGGGCACTGCCGTGGCTCTGCTGTTAACTGGCTGTGGAGGCGTCCTTCTGGCCTCAGTGTGCCTAGTGGTACAAAGGGGACCAGAAGGGCCAATGAGGGGCTGGGGAGAAATGAGAGAGTATGAGATGGCCAAGGGGCCATGGGAGGGACAAGAAGGACTGGAAGGGGCTGGGATATCCTGGTTTGGACAGTGGTGCCCTGGAAAAACTGTGAGGGGCTTTGGCTGGCTGGGAAATGTGGTCAGAAGGGGCATTCTGACTTCCTGGTGGGTGCTGGAGCCCCGCCCAGGGTTCTGAGGCAGTGCCTGGGCCATCTCTGCCTGATTACGGGAGGGCATAGGAGTGGAGGACGGGGGTCAGCTTGCCCCCTGGCTAGATAATCCCTAACCCAGAGCACAGAACGGACCCTTTCTCTTCTCCTCTCCCCTTGGCAGTGTTCCTCACCTTGACTTCTTACCCCATGTTTTTCTGTATGACAATTCACTTATTTTTGCTACAATGGCAACTTTACATCACTTTTATATATGGAAAGGCAACATCATTTGCTGTAAATAGGTGAAAACTGTCAAAAAAGCCAAAGCTAAACAACAGTGAGATCCTGCTGCCTGTCCAAAGCCCTGAACCTATGGCCTCCCTCTGTGAAGAGAGACACATAGCAGACACAACAGTGTCAAGTGGGCAACATTTTCCTTGACTAATCGGAATTACTGCAAAGCTACTGAAAAGAGAATGGACTCACTATGAAAGTCGATTATCTAAATTATCTTGGATGCCCAAGTCCCACATATGGGGCATTAGAAATAATGCCTTACACAGGCTCCGGCACACAGCAGGTGCTTCATAAGTGCCACCTGGCCCAAGGCCCTTCCAGCCCATGTCATGTACAGCCTTTCACTGTCATGGGCCATCCTCAGCCTAGACAGATGGCATGGCCCAGCTTACTGGCAGCTCCCTCTTGCCTCCTCCCACATTCTGCCCTGAAATCTTCCCAAGAACAGCACTCAGCCTCCCCCCACCCCCACCAAGCCAGGACCCCTTGCATTCCATCGTTTTGCCAAGACTTACTGCTAATTAAGTGAACTAGGTAAGCATTAAATTAAACTAGCAGTGTTGCTGTTTCCCCTCCAGACTGAATAATTACTCATAATGAGCTTGGATAATAAGTCTCTAAATAACAGAGAGTTAGCCATAATTAGGCTGAAAATTGAGAGACTGAGAGAAAGTGAGAGGAGGAGGAAGGGAGAGAAGACAGGACAGAAGAGAAAAGAAGAGGAGAGAGAGGGGGCAGGGGGAGAGGGAGGCAGGGGGAGAGAGGAGGAGGGAGAGGAGAGAGAGAAATTGTCTTTAGTTTGGCAACTGATTCAAGGACAAATTCAAATTGTTAGCAGGGGAGAAATTCTTAAGCCAGTGTTATTATAGATACAAAGACTTAGAACTTGAGGACCTCAGAGCCCCACTAGTTTAAATTCTGTAGTTCACAGATAGGGAAACGGAGACTCCGAGAGGGGAAGCCATTTGCCCAAGGTCACATTGAGAAGGAGTGTCTGAGAATGATGTGGGGTTGGGTGTTGCCAGCTGATGGAGGCTACGGCTTCTCCGCTTGTGAGTGCAGAGTAAGGTGAGCTGGAGTAAAGCATCCAATTTGCTGGCATCTCACAGGAAGGCTTCCTCAGCCAGCAGAAGGGACATTGCTTAAGAGCTTTAGCACTGGAGACACATAGCCAAGGTTTGAGTCCCTCTTTTACCATCTAGAAGCTGTGTCACTTTGGGCTAAGTTCATCCATTCCTCTGAGTCTGTTTCCTCACCTGAAAACAGGGATAATAACTGTACTTACCTCATAGAGCTGCCATGCTACAAACACTAAATATTAGCTGCCACCACCACGACCACCATCACCTCCATCAACACCACCGTCATCCTCAAGCAGTGTGATCAAAGGGACAGCTGCCTCCTCCACTAACTCAAGGCACGTGGGCAAGCTGCTGGGTTTATGTGTCTTACCTTGTCCATGTGTAAAATGGGCGCATAAGACCTCCCCTTCCTTCACAGGGGAGTTGCAAGGATACAGTGTCAAAACCCATTGTTCACTGGCTTCCAAAAACAGAAGCCTCTATCATTTTTCTGCACTGTTTGAGATGCTATAGTGACTACCCTCTCCACAGGCTTCAGTTCCGGTGCCCTTTACCCCAGGCATGACCTGCATCCTGACCCCTGAGAGTCATCTCTTTGACTCTGCTAGGGAAACTGTCTCCCTCCACCAAGCTTATCTGATGGAGCAGGAGCTTCCAAAAGCATCTTTTAATTTTTTTTAATGTTTATTTTTGAGAGAGAGAGGGAGAGAGAGAGAGAGACAGAGACAGAGTGAGAGCAGGGAAGGGTCAGAGAAAGAGGGAGACACAGAATCTAAAGCAGGCTCCAGGCTCTGAGCTGTCAACACAGAGCTCCACGCAGGGCTCAAACTCACAAACAGATCATGACCTGAGCCAAAGTTGGATGCTTAACCGACTGAGCCACCCAGGAGCCCCTTGAAAGCATCTTTAAAGACCATCACTAGGTGGCGCTCCACCACCAACCTGCTGCCCTGAGAATACCAAAGTGTGTATATGTTGCTGGTTGGGGCAAGGGGTGGACAGTGAAATCCTGAGTGACTGTGCTTTTGTGGCTGTGTGCATGTGTCATCTAGGGGCGACATGGCATTGGAGGTCACATGGGCTCCTCAGGCACTTCTAAATTTGAAACCCATTCCTACTCACCCTGAGCCTTCTTCAGCCCCAGTATCCTCATCTGGAAAATGGTGATAATACTAGCTCTTGGTGGTGGTGGTGTGAGGACAAAAAAATAGGGGGAGTAAGAGAGCATGAGGAAAGTGTCAAATACAGGCCCTGGAGCATAGTAAGTGCTCAGCAAACAGCTATTAAGGGCCTTTCTTGGTGGTTCTAGTGGGAGAATGGGCACAAACGTGATTGAGAGCATTCAAAGCAGGGAGGAGTGTGTAAACCTGGCTGCGCGTGAGCCACCTCCTGAGGGCTCTGTTAAGAGGACAGCTCAGGCCCCACCCTAGACTTGGAGAACTGCCACTGTGAAGTGCTCCCTCGCCAGGCAGGACTTTGGAGACTGACCATTCCAGTCCCAGTGCTCCCATTTTGTAAAAGGCATGCCTTCCTGTGCATCCTGTCCGCGGTGTCTCCGGCAAGGGCAGCAGCCTGAAACACTGGTCGGAGCTGGCCCAGCAGAAGCCTGAGTTCCTCCTTAGAAGCTAGAGCTTGGTCAGAAGATGTGAAGCTCAGAGGATCACCTGAGTCCCCAAGGGAGAGGCCAACTTATTCACATTCTATCTCATAGAACTCACTGTTGAATAACGATACCATATATTCCATGTTTTGTTATCATAAACCTGAAGCGTAGCCCAAGCTGATAGCCTCCCCACCTTATAAATGAGGAGACAGAAGTTCAGAGTGGAGAGGTGGCTTTTCCGAAGGTCATCTAGCTAAGAGTAGACAAACTCAGACCTTCCATCTCTGAGGCCTAATGTTCTGGTCTATATACCAGAAGTTGCATGCTTCCAGCCCAAGAACTAGTCTAACTATTGTCTTCTATTGTGTTAATAAATGAAAAATTAATAGTTTCCTAGAAAGTACAGATTTCCAGTGTCTCTGGAAATCTGAAGGTTCTCCAATGTGGAGCTTACACCCTTGAAAGGTTAATAATTGACCAGAGCTGAGAAGGAGTCATATCCTCCAGAGAGACACGGGTTTCAACACAGTACCCACCATGTCACGCTGTCTCAGTCACCCAGCTGGGTTCACTATGTTACCTGCTTGGTCCCGGCGGGCATCCGGACTTGAGACTCCTGCAAAATGCTATGGCCTTTCTGCTAAAATTCAAGTCACAAAAGTCTTCCCTGAGGAACAGAAAAAGAGGTGAATGAGGGCTATCAGATTGTTTCCTAGGCACTTAGGGCCAGGGATTGCCAGAGCCAGCTCAGAGGCAGGTTCCCTCCCAGGGGGTGCTCTGGGAAGCCCCAGCTTGGTCTAAGATCTCCACCTTCACAGATGGGGGTCCGGGAACTCCTCCCAGATCAGAGCCTGCTGGGGACAGACAGATGGAGCCATAAATCACATTAGCTTGTGGCAGATGTGCAAGAAGCTATGTTTCTATATTTCTGTCTGCTGGTGAGCACACTCTGAGAATGCCTGCCACTTGGGACATCAGGAGCATGGACGCCTGGCAACTCTTGTATGACTCCATCTCCATTATTCTGTCATGTCTTCCCCACCAGCTGAGTGAGAAGGTCAGTGGGCACAGTCACGGAGCCTTTCACCCATTCAAAATGATATTACAAGGTGGCAGGGCAGATTCAGACTGCCTGGGTCTGACTGCAGCTCCTTCCTTCCCCACTGCTGTCCTCAGTCAAATAACCTCTCTGTGCCCACATTCTCTGATCTGTAAAATATGGCCAGTAACAGTTCCTACCCTGTCGGGTTACTAAAATGGTTATCAAAAATACGAGCAAACGCCTTAGCAGAGCACTTATACATAGTAAATGCTCAGTAAATGCCAGCTGCTATCATTACTACCACCATCACCCGGTGGTAATATTCTTTATATTCTATTAGGAGGAAAGTGGCTTAGGGCACAGCCATCAAACCAAGTTCACAGACTAAAAAGATCATTTCAAATGGCCTTAACAGCTATGAAGAAAAGGAAGAGTAATGAGTGACTAGTGTTATTACAGAGACCTCTTTGAGAGGTGATACGGGAGTGGAGGTATCTTAACCTTGTACTGTTGTTGTTTGGGGTTTGACAGTTCTTTATTATGGGGGCTGTCCTGGTCTGTGGGATGTTGAGCAGCATCCCTGGCCTCTATCAGATGTATGCCTGTCCCCCCTCTGCCCCAGAGGGGCACAACCAAATATGTTTGTTTCCATGCATTGCCAAGTGTCCTCTAGGGGGCAAAAGTGAGCCCTGCAGAGAAGCACTAAAGGATTAATGCAGAAGAGCATTCACATGCAGAACAGATGGCTTTGGGAGAGATGGACTTTAAACCCACAGGTCAGTGGAACCTTATCCCCAACCCTAAATCTGGCACTGGTGAGGTTAAACCTGAAGGGAAGCAGGTTCTGCTAGGAAAATGGATCCACATGTTGAAACCCTTCACACAGAAATACAGCACAGAACAAAGACAACTAAATCTGGAACAAAGTTCAGGTCTGGAACTCAGGTGGCACAGAAGTTCAGCCTGGGATGCAGTTTCCTTACTCTCTCCTTAGGGCCCAGAAACCAGGGCCTGCAAATTCAGTCCTTTATTGGAACTTCAAAGAAAATCTGCATCTGCATCACCAGGAAGCCAGCTAAAAATGCAGATTCCCAGGCCCCGCTCCTCTTGGAGAAGGCTTCAGGTCATTCTGCAGCTTGCTCAGGTTTAGAAATCTCTGGACTGAACTAGATGTCAGCCCTGGCAGAGCCTATGCTTTTTTTTTTTAAGTTTATTTTGAGAGAGACAGTGAGAGCTGGGGGGGGGAGAGGGGCAGAGAGAAAGAGGGAGAGAGAGAATCCTAAGCAGGCTCCTCACTGTCAGTGAGAAGCATGATGCATGGCTCAAACTTGCAAACCCTGAAGATCATGACCTGACCTGAAATCAAGAGTTGGACACTTAACTGAGTCACACGGGGGCCCCAACCCTCCCTCTAAGCTTTCTCAGGCTTCCCTAACTACTGCGCCCAGCATGGGAACGAAGGAAATCTAACCCAGAATGCACATGTGTGGGAGAAGCACAAGTGGTTACCTCTGGTTGAAGAAAGGCAGGGGCCCTGGGCTTCTGTGATTCAGTCTCCCTCTAGAGCCCAAAACCACCCATCAACTCAACTATCCTGCTAACAGGTGAAGAAACTAAGGCCTAAAGACAGAGGGACAGTGAAGTGGGTGTTCGTAGTAAAGAACCTTATCGTCAAGTCCCCAATACCTAGACCAGCCTCCTGCCTTGCCTGGCTTGATCATGACAGATAGGGAGTACTGCCCCGGCCCAGCCCTGCCTGCTGACACACATGGTTCCCAAACACCCCCTGGGGCCGGACGTCAGCTTCATGCCCTGAGCAGCTCTCCCCAGGCCTCCCCTTCCTAACTAAAGGCATCGGTGCTTAGTGAGAGCTGTTCAGCTCCACAATGACACCAGGTGGTCCTCCTGCAGGATCCTGGGTGAGCAGAGGGCAGGGCTCTCTTCCCTATCAGAAGAGTCTGACAGTCTCTGGGGCGCCTGGGTGGCTTAGTCGGTTAAGCGTCCGACTTTCGCTTAGGTCACGATCTCGCGGTTCGTGGGTTCGAGCCCCGCGTCGGGCTCTGTGCTGACTGCCGGCCTGGAGCCTGTTTCAATCTGTGACTCCCTCTCTCTCTGACCCTCCCCTGCTCATGCTGTCTCTCTCTCTCTCTCCTAGAAATAAATAAAACATTTAAAAAAAAAAAAAAGAAGAGTCTGACAGTCTCTACAACAGCAGATACCATATTCCATCGATTCTGCCATACATGTATTCTTACATTTTAACATTCCTGAAATTAGACTGCATTATTTAATCAGCAGTATCTTAAACACTGTGTCATGGCTTGGTTGGCCAGTTGTTCTTGAATTCTCTCACTGGTCCATAAAACAATGGTACGTCTTAAAAGTCGACCTCGTGTTTGATTTTGACGTGTATTATGCTGCTTAATCCTTACGAGAACCCTGTGAGGCAAGTGTTCTCACCCCCATTTTAGCAGGTGAGAAGACTAAGGCTCAGAGCAGTTGAGTCAACTGCCTCCTGACAGCTAGTAAGTGGTTGTGGTGAATTTTATGTGGTAGCTTAGCGAGGCTATGGTGTGCAGTAGTTCAGTCAGAGACTAATCTAGATGTTACTGTGAAGGCATTTTGTAGATGCGATTAACAGTTAACAATCAGTAGGCCTTTAAAGGAGATTCCTCTCCACATGGGTGGGCCCCATCTAGTCAGGTGAAGGCTGTAAGAGCAAAACAGGTTTCCTAGAGAAGAAATTCTGCCTCAGAGACTGTAACAGAAATCCTGAGTTTCTGGCTTGCTCTACAGATTTTGGACTCAACTGAAATATCAACTTACCTGAATTACCAGCCTGCTGGCCTACAAATTCCTAACTTGTCAGCCCCACTGTGTGAGCTAATTCCTTAAAGTAAATCTCTCTGGGGCACCTGGGTGGCTCAGTTGGATACACGCCTGGCTCTTGATTTTGGCTCAGGTCATGATCTCACAGTTCGAGGGTTCAAGCCCTGCATTGAGCTCTGCACTGACAGTATGGAGCCTGCTTGGGATTCTCTCTCTCTCTCTCTCTCTGCCCATTCCTGGCTCATGTGTGCACATGCTCTCTCTTTCTCAAAAATAAATAAACACTAAAAAATTTTAAAATAACTCTCTCTGGCTACCTATATGATGGGTGCTGTTTCTCTGGGGAACCCTGACCACTGGCAGTAGGGCATGGATGTCAAGTTCTATTCCTACTGTGGGTGTGCCCAGGGAGGCCCAGCTCCACAGGTGCATCTTGTGCAGCCCACCCCCCACAGCCTCTGGATGGGAGCGGAGACACGCACGGGGCTGGCTGAGAGCAGAAGGCCAGGAAGAGAACGGAGACCAAGAGCAGGTGATCTGTTTATTGCAGGACACCCTGTTCTGTGTGCTGGGCTGGCTGTGAGGCTCTACTGGGTGCCCCTCACAAGCCCCAGTCCCAGGCCACATAGACACAGTAACTAGGCATCCAAACTAGTCTCACATAAATAGAAGGAGGTTGGCAAAGGAAAAAGAGAAAAGCAACGCAAACGTGTAGTCTTCCCACACTCCTGTGACACAGTGGCACGGCGCCTTACTCGCGTCACCCCTTCTCATTCTGCTTCTGCACAGAAGCCTTCATCTGCTCTGGGAATCACCTTCGGATCCAATTTGGCAGCACACGGCCGCCTCCCTGGTAGTCCCCGAGCCAGTCTCCCGGACTGACTGGCAAATAAGCTGAGAAAACCAAGATGGGTTCTTAAAACAAACAAAAAATGCTTCCGTGGTTCTTTACACCTCCCAGTTCTGCTGGGTGAACAGTATGTCCCCCTGACTCGGAACCAACAATAAACACAACGAGCACAAGCCGCGAGTCAAAATAAAAACATATTGCACGTGGTTACGAGTCTTCCTGAGAGCCCTCTTGCTGCAGGTGCCCAAACACTGGCTTTCGATCCATTCAGTCGCTTGCCTGGCAGGATTTGTGACACACACCCAGTCCATGCCCCGCTCCCTGACTCCAGCTGGCATGAAGCAAACATTCTGCATTATCGGCCTTCCCTGTTAGCCAAAATCATGCACCATAAGCACCTGGTGGAGGTGGTGAAGGTTGTTGGCTGTAAACCTGCCTACCTTTCAACCACCTTTCCTTCTGGGTGGTTGTTGAAGCTCTCCAGGTGAACACAGCATCCGAGATGTGGAATCTTCTTGAACCGAGAACCTGGGGAGTGGCTCTCCCCAACCACATGCTTGCTATTACAAGCTGGGTCTGAACCTACAGCCCTTGCATGGGACAGGCAGTGTGGCGATCAACATTTTTTTCTCTCCTAAGGAATTTTCAAGTATCGCAAAATCCCTGATGCAGTATGTAAACAAGATATCTTACTGAACACGAACAGAAAGCTAGGTCACTTCAGGAACAGCAGCATGTGAAATATCTAAAAGGCCAAATAAGGTTTTAGGTTCGACAACAAAGGCAAGATAGCCGCCCTCCGTGTCTTGGAAGGCCGACAGTCAGGCGTGCACGCAGACACACACAGGCTCTTCTGTATGCAGCCAGGGAAAGAGCACCCAATGTGGCACCTGCTGGGGGTCCTGAGGAAACGTCAGGCAGTACCCTTCTTTCTCAGTGTAGCTGCCACTGGTGAGGAGTAAAGAAATCTTGATGCTAAAAACCAGATATGCTCATGACTGGCGATCTGCATCGTTTCCAGTCTCCCGGCCTCTCACCAGGTCTTTCTCATTGGACGGGGTCCCTCCTCCAGAGGACAGTGGCAGAGGCATCCCCCTGCAGCCCAGCCACACAGTGGAAGATGCTTTCCAGAGGAATGTTCTCGGGGGAGGGGTGTCAAGGACCATCTTGCTGGGGGTCAGCTTTATTTAAAGAATATGAACCCTCTCTGTTCAAGGGCAACAATGAGGTTGTGGGGATGGTCTCCCCACTGCCTGGCTCCGCTGAGCTCCCCTCACCTGTGTTCTTGTCCTCTGCCCACGTGAGTCTCCAAGGGCTCCCTGTGTGGAATGAAGGTGCCCTATCTGTCGAAACAGCCTGTGGGGAATGCGTGGCTTCCATTGAAGTAGCTGCTTCCGTAGGTGGTGGCAAGGCAGTGCCTAGGCTCAGCTGCAATGGCCATCTGCACGCTGAGGGGCGTGGGGAGGGACATGGGACACATGTCCAAGGGCTGGAGGGTGGGGTACAGGGCATGGAGGGAGGAGCCAGAGCCCCCAGAGAGTAGGCTCCCAGAGCGGTGTGCTTGCAGCGAGTCCCGATAGGCCAAGCACAGGTCCTGCACGGGGGTCTGAAACTGTGTCAGGGCTGGCGTTGTCGGCTGGCTCAGGGTGGGGTAGGTGGGGGGCTGGAACAGCACTTGGGGGGTGGTGGGGGGCGTGCCGGGCACCATTGCCAAGGCCTGGCTCTTGACTGAGACAGCGTCCTTGAAGACATTGTCATAAGCTCTGAAAGGAAAGGACTTGGGTGAGACTTGAGGTCCAAGGCCACAGTGGCAGACACCTGAGAGCTCCTCCCTTCCTTGCTAAGTGGGATTCGAGATCTGTGCATTCGAGACCTGTGCGCTGTGACCTCAGGGCGGCACCCAGCCCACACTCACTGCTGGCAGCACTGCCTCCCCTGTTCTCTGACTAAACTCAGGTCTTAGACCTATGCCCCGATTTGCTTCCTACTGAAAACCCCTTCTGACCCCTAAAGATTAGCCTAGCTGTTCCCCAAGCCCCTGTGCTGCCCCACTTGGCAGTCAACCCCCCAGATAATAACTTCCGGGCTACCACCTAGTCTCCCATGCCAAGCACAAGCTCCAGGAGGAGGCGGCCCTCTGCTCTTGCTCATCACTGCATCCAGGGGGGCTCTTTGCTCAGGTAAGACAGGAACAAATGGAGGCTCAGATCTGAGAAGGGAGCCATCCCATAGCCACAACCATGGTAAAGAGGCAGGGCCGGTGGCCAAGGATCTGGGGGCACCTATGTGCACTCAGATCAGACCATATGCTCTGGTTCTGGGCACCTTCTACAAGCAAAGATTTTAAAACAAGACCCAGGGAACAGGGCAGAGACAAAGGCAGCTACTAGCACAGCTTCCCACCTCAGGAGGCCGAGAGGCAGCTCTCCAGGGGCCTGGCCCCATGGTCAGGAGGGCCAGCATACAGAAGATGTTGCCATATGCTGGGTGGAAGAGGGACGGGCAGCAGCCAGGCTGGGCTTCTCTGTCCTGTCTCCTCCTGTGATCACCACTGAAGACTCGCACCTTCAGTATCAGTTTCATGGTGATGGGTCTGTGTTGCCCCATGCACCTTCTCTTATACACTGCATATGTCCTCCCCAAGTTTCCAAGGGACACTCGCAAGGAGGCCATGGCCTCTTATGTTAAGTCACTCTGGGCTTAGGTGGCTAAGAGGTCAGCTTTGTGGCCACATCTGATAAAAGTAGCTTATCATAAGTCTTAGTGTAATCACCCGTAAGACTGAGGATACACTGGCATTCAGAGCAAACAGCCCAGATACTCAGAAGGGTGTGTATATCGCCTTCTCTTCTCCCCAACTCCTTGACCTTAAAATTGCAAACTCAAAGCTACCAAAAACGAGAAGGACCAATAATGCAAACCTCATTCTATCAGGAGTCACCATGGCCCACTTCCTGTGAGACACCAGCTGGGGAAACTACCCTAACCCTCTGACTTTGAGAGATCACCTGAGGCAGGTCTCAAGTCCAAGTGCCTCGATTATTTTGGAAACGAAGATTAGGGACGGAACTTACACCAGCAGGATTTCAATGCATGTGCTGAGATGTTCCAGAGAGTAATCTGAGATCCTCTGTAGGTCTCTGGTCCAGTAGGGAGAAAGCTGAAGGCAAATCCTGGAGGCCCCGATGCAGGCTGCGGCCACCACAGAAGGCTGGAATTTGTAGAAAATATGATCTGAAAGAGAATCACAGAAGTCGGCTTCACAAGGCCTCACTGTGGAGTCCCAGTGGCCCTCCTTCCTGCCTTGTGCCTCCTGAGAACCGGCAGACAAGTCATTAGGTTCAAGGCTGTTCATTGCTGCACACAAGCACATGGTGAAAACCGAGAAGCAGTGTGAAGTTCCATTCCTGAATCTTAAACACTTTGGATCTCGGTCTGGGACTTCTGGTGTCAGCCTAGAGTAATAAGTTTTCAAAATTTCGCCCGTAACTTCTGCGGGGCTGCAAGGGGCTTGCCGATGGGCTACAAAGAGAACCCATAAAACACATGTCTCTTCTTTGGCTCTTGGAATGACACACCATTTCAAAGGCTTCTGTTTTGGAGTATGACTATAGGCTACTTATTAACAGTGACAAAGCCTGGCCTACAGTGAGCACTCAATAAAAATTTGTTGAATGAATGAATGGTCACAAACATTTGATATTGATAAGTAAAACCAGCACTTGACTTAGTTTACTGAGGAATCTTCCCCCACCCACAGCTTTACTGACATACGATTGGCAAATAAAAAACTATACATACTTAAGGTGTACAACAAGATCTCTTGGTATACATATATGTCGTGAAATGAATCTTAATGTCCTACTAAGATATCTGGCAACGTGGCGAAGCTGGTATGACTTATATGCAAAGGCAAACTGTTAAAATTTCCATGCTTCTCCTGAATGGCCCTTGGTTATCTGTGCACTATCATTCTGTCTTACGTTGTTTATGATTTTTGAAGACTTCCACATTTGCCTGTGAAAATATGAGTCAAGGCAAAGTCGCAGAATCAGACACCTCAGATTCAAACCTTAGCAATGACCTTGGGTAAGTTACTTCACCTCTTGAGCATCAGTTGAGGGTAAAACAGGAATAACAGAAGTGATTTTCAAGTGATGTCATTGTGAAATTCAGTGACATAATATACACAAAGCACTAAAATAAGGTGCCTGGTACATGGTACGTGCTCAATTAATGCTTGATACTGTAATTGTTTCTATTGTTATAAACCATTTTAGTTTGTGGTGGGTTATCGGGTATTATATCAACAGTATTTCTGACCTGGTATTTTTACCTAATACCTAGATTTTAAGTCAATGGGAACTGTGGAATTCAAACGAAGTCCCCAAACAGGTTACTTTCATTGCTAAAGTTTATTACTAACATACCCCACCCTCTACCCTATCTATATAATGATCGCTCTTCTGCAATGACCTACTTGCAAATCTGTCCCATTTGGATCACTTGAGATGTTTCAGGTTACCATAAGAAAAATTACCAGGTGATCAGTAAGTTTGCAGGGTGCCAGCTGCCTGGTGTTGGCAGTACACAGGGAGATCCTTGCTCCTCCTCTGTGTATCCCCTGTGAAGTGGCAGTGATCTGGGTGGATGGGCCTCACTCAGCAAGGACTCCCCGGGGGACACGCCTGTCAGATCCCGGCCTCTGTGTGGGTGGGGAAGGGGCTAATGGGTCCTGATGTGGGGCCGCACCTTGCAGGGTAACCTCTAGGAAGTAGTGGGCATACTCCTTGAGGCACTCTTTGGTCTTGCGGGGGCAAGCGGTGGGCCAACTGTGGCAGTGCTGATCCTTCTGGCTGACGGAGGCCGAGAGGTAGTAGTCCAGAAAGTGGGCAGGCGTGGGCACACACAGGTTCCAGCTGAAGGCTTCCAGGAGCAGCAGCTCTGTGCTCAGCAGCTCCTTCTTGGTGAGGGTGAAGTTCTGGCCGTTCAGGACCCTCGTACTGTTTATCTGCTCCAGCTTGGGAACATGGTCCTCCCTGTCTTCGAACTTACCTGTGGGAGAAGCAGACGTTACTGGAAGACAGCCCTTGCCTGCACCCAGGAAGCAAAGGCCCACCTCACAGTGCCTGGACAGCCCTGGCATGGAGCACAGAAAGCCAAAAGGCCCCACTGCCAAGCGACTGAAGGCACACACTCTAGATCTACCAAACCTGGGCTTGAATCCCCAAGCCATCACCTCCAGCTGTGTGATCGTGCACAGGTGTCTCACCCTTTCTGTGCCTCAGTTCTCTTGTCTGTAAAATGGAACCTAAACCTCACAAGGCTTTTGTCAGATACAATGAGAAAAAGCACACCACATGTTCAGGCCAGTGCGTGGAACAGAGAAGGCGCTCACAGCAGTTAGCGGCAGTGGTTAAGAGTCTGGAGAATAAGGGAGCCCTCTCTCCACTCCTGCCTGGTCCTCACTAATGCAATCTCAGGACTGGTCGGGGGTCAGACAGCCATAGTCAGAATGCCCTTGCAAATATGATCCTGTCCCCCCACATGTAGAAAAGCCCCTCAATGGCTCTCCACTGTCCTCAGTACTGGGCTTAAACCCTGTCGATAGCTTTTTAGCTTGAACTCCCTCGGAAACAGATTGCTTAGGAGGTGAGCCTAGGAAGAACTGTAAGTGGGAGAAGACAGGAAAAGGAGGAAATCCAGAAAGGGAACATGATCTTGAAGTTATCTGTACCCCTGTGTGTTCACTGCAGCATGAATTACAATAGCCAAGACTGAGAAACAACGTAAGTATCTGACAGATGAATGGACAGAGAAAATGTGGTATTTATATACTATAGAATAATATTCAGCCACGCAAAGAAGGAAATCCTGCCATTTGCTTCAAGATGGATAAACCTTGAGGGCATTTTGCTAAGTGAAATAAATCAGGCAGAGAAAGACAAATACTGTATAATTTCACTTATATGCGGAATTGAAAAAAGCCAAACTCAAAGTTACAAAGAACTGACTGGTGACTACCAGAGGCAGAGATAGCAGAAACTTGTGAAGGGGGTCAAAATTGGCCCCGGGCATGTAAGGTGCAGCATGGTGACTAGTTAACAATGCTGTGCTGTCTATCTGACAGGGGCTATGAGAAATCTTAAAAGTTCTCATTACTAGAAAAACATTTGTTAAATGTGTGAGGTGATGGATGTTAACTAAACTTACAATGTACAACAGGCACATCTATCAAATCATTTTTATACACTTGAAAAGTAATACAATGTTACATGTCAATTATATCTCAACGAAACTGGGGCAGGGGTGACACTGGACTTCCGAGGCGAGGCTGTAAGAGGCTGTGCAACTCCTACCCTCCTCCTCCCTTGGAGTGCTGTGCTGAGACCACCACGGAAGGAAGTAAACCTAGCCTGCTGGCGGTGGAGAGGCCGCAAGAACAGAGGTACCTTGGCGATAGCCAGTGCCAACTCAGACAGGAGAATGAAGCATCCAGGACCTTCTAGCCCAGCCCTTACAGCAGCCGTCTGAATGAGCACAGGTTAAACCAGCAGAGGAAACCTCATACAACCCACATCACTATTTTTTTTTAAATGTTTGTTTATTTTGGGAAGAGAAAGAAAGCATAAGCAGGGGAGGTGCAGAGAGACAGAGGGTGAGAGAGAATCCCAAGCAGGCTCCAGGCTCTGAGCTCTTTGCTCAGAGCTTGACGCGGGGCTTGAATTCACAAACCAGGAGATCACGCCCTGAGCTGAAGCTGAAGCTGAACCGACGGAGCCACCCACGTTACTGATGTTTAAATCGTTACAGGTGCCCCACATGTTACTGATGTTTAAATCGCCAGGTTTGGGCATGATTTGTTTGGCGGGAATAGATACTGGAATACACTCATATCTGTGGGCAGTGGCAAAAAAGATCTGAAACCCCACAAACAGGCAGATCACATGGCTCAGAAGGATCAATGACTAATTACCGGAAGACCCTGGAAATAAATGCAATGAAAAAAATGCTACATGGAGTTAGATAAAAACAAAAATTAAACACGAGCCTTGAGTTATCCTCCAAGGTCAAGGGAACTGAGGTATTTACAGAACAATCCCCGGGGTCACCAGTGGTGGAGAGTTCCAGTAGCAGCCTCCACTGGGGGAGGCTCTGCAGGTGGGGCGGCTGCGGGGGCCCCCAGCCTAAACCCACCTCACCCTGCGGAAACCACGGGCACCTGGCTGAGGCCTCCATCACTGCACTCCCTGAAAGCCCTGTGCCCCTCTTGCCCACGAGCCTGCATCTACACAGCCTGGATCACCCTTCCCCCTCCCCTCTTCACACGGCCAACCTCTCCCTGTCCTTCACCCTCGAAGTCACTGCCCCTTGGAAGCCTTCCCCAAATACCGTCCTCATTCTGGCCGACGCCCAGAATCACATGGTGATTCCTGAGGCCTGGCCTTGGTGTGGTTGCCAGTGGCCTCTGAGCTCAGCCTAACCGGAGGCAGAACTCTGCTAAGAGTGTTGAAGAGGTGGCTGAGGGGTGGCCCAGCTGAGCTAAGAAAGCACGCAACAAAGGGTCCACACACCTGTGCACAACTGTGAGCCCCCTGTGACCCAGTTCCCATCAGACATTCATGCTTAGGAGACATGAGGAAGTAACCACTTCAGGCTGCCTTACAGCAGAAACAACACATTTCTCAGGAAGGCCTTAGAACATGTCACCAAGAAATGAAACCTGGGACTCTGGGAAGCCAGTGTCTCTATCTTCCCAGCAAGTCTTAAAAGAGCCCACTAAGTGGGCAAAGATGGTGTGCTGTGAAGCTCTGGTCTTCGACGGGCAGGACCTGAGCAGGTGGAAACATACAAAACAGCGGAGAGTGGAGACTGATGGCTGACCAGGTCCCATGCAGTTTGCAGCCACCCCAGGGCCTCTGCTGCCAGAGCCGTACCCGGCAGGACCCAAGGCTGGCATGGCACCGCCTCCACACCACACACCTTCTCTGGCCTTGCACGGCATGGGCAACTCAGGCAGGAAAGGCAAGGTCAGTGCTGCCCAAGACGGCCTCCTGTATGCCTGGAAATCCTGGGGTGGGGCTGGTTGACCAGGCCTCACCAGCCCCCATACCCTCCCTAAGTGCGGGACCTCTCCTCAGGCTGTGAGTGCGCATCCCTTCACTCACCTTACTGTGTGTCCTCCAGCGCTCAGTGTCATCAAGGCACTTCTCACGCTCAGATTGCTTAACCACAAGTATTACTATTAAAGGATAGCGCCTGACCAATAGGTCATTAATGGGCCTAAGCCCATGAGGACAGGAACTGTGTGTCTGACCCATTTGCAGTTGTGCCCCAGATCCCAGCACAGTGCCTTATAATTAGCAGCTGCCCAGTGAATATCCGTTCAAAGAATGAATGGTAGTCTCTCTCTCTCTCTTTTGTTTAGAGAGTAGGAGTAGGGGAGGGGGTAGAGTGGGAGAGAGAATCCTTTTCTTTTTTTAAAAAAATTTTTTTAATGTTTATTTTTGAGAGAGACAGAGACAGAACATGAGCAGAGGAGGGGCAGAGAGAGATGGAGACATAGAATCTAAAGCAGGCTCCAGGCTCTGAGCTGTCAGCACAGAGCCTGATGTGGGGCTCGATCTCACAGACTACGAGATCATGACCTGAGCTGAAGTTGAACGCCCAACCAACTGAGCCACCCAAGCACCCCGAGAATCTTTTTAAGTTTATTTCTCTTGAGAGAGTGAGAGAGGGGCAGAGAGAGAGGGGAGAGACAGAATTGCAAGCAGGCTCAGTGCTGTCAGCGCAGAGCCTTCAAAGTGGGGCTCGAATCCATGAACCATGAGATCATGACCCAAGCCAAAACCAAGGCTCATAGAGAAAGAGAGAGCAAGAGAAAAGCTTAAGCAGGCTCTACATTCAGCACAGAGTCCGAAGTGGTGGGGCTCGATCTCACAACAGTGAGATCATGACCTGAGCTGAAATCAAGAGTCAGACACTTAATCTACTGAACCACCTACGTGCCCAGGTACTCTGTTAATAGTTGAATTTTGGGCTATTTAAATTGTCCTCTGATGATCTCAGATTATTTGTATTCCCTAATTTTTTCTCCAATGATCATATATGCTATGCACAATTTAAAAAGAAAAATGTTTTTGCAGAACTGTCCAGTTTTCCCTGAACCTTGTGCTGAACTAAGCCAACACTGTTAGCAGGCACTCAGTAGATACAAGTGCTCTTTTCTTCCCCAGGGCAGAAGGGGGCATGGTGAAGGTCACAGCCCCAGCAAAAATGTGCATTGTACTTAGGGTGGCATTAAGACTCTTCCACGCCATTTCTGGCAGCCAGCAATCTAGTCTAACTGGCAGATGTGCTCAATGAGATTAGTTTCCTCTCTGCCCTTGGAGCTTTTCAAACCTTTCAGAGCTCTGCCTTTTCCCCAGTCACCAGGCCCAAGAGGATTAGCCTCAAATGGAAGGGACTATGGATTACTGAAGAATCTGAATTCACCTGCTCCCCAGGCTGGAGAAGCTTCTTGGGGACCCATCACACTGCAGGCCAGGGCCAGGCAGAGTGGGTCTGAATCCTCAATGAGTTGGCACTGGACCTAAGAAAGAGCACTGGGGCACCTGGGTGGCTCAGTTGGTTAAGTGTCCGACTTCGGCTCAGGTCATGATCTCACAGTCCGTGGGTTTGAGCCCTGCATCAGGGCTGACAGCTGACAGCACAGAGCCTGGAGCCTGCTTCAGATTCTGTGTCTCCCTCTCTCTCTGCCCCTCCCCCACTCGCTCTCTGTCTCTCAAAATAAAAAAATGAAAGACATAAAAAATTTTTTAAAAAAAGAAAGAGCACTAAACTCCACAGGCTGTTTGTTTCCTATTTGGGAATATGCCTCCCGAGGAGATGAATTGGCCATGTAGAATGGAAAGTGCTTCAGTAGTTCCCAACACACTGACACGCACAGTCTTCATGCTGGATCAGGCACTGGATCCTCCCAGGTAAGTTCCGTCCAGATCCCCAGGAGGGCAGAGAAAAGGCTCACAGAACTCAGCTCTACATCTAGGAGGCAC